TGAAATAGGACTTTCCAAAAGGTAACTGTCACTTCTAGGATTGCCAGATAAAACAGAGGTTGCCCAGTTAAGTCTGACTTTCAGATAGACAACAAACAATTTTTTAGTCTATGTGCCAAATACTGCATTCACTGTTTATCTGAAATTCCAGTATTTTTATTTGCTTGATCTGTCAACCCTAAATTTGCACCAATGGAATGGCCACTGGATTATTCCAATTAATTCTTCCTGTCCCCAAATTATACAAACCAAGATCCACCTTGGCTCAGTCATCTCCTCTTGCTCTTTTCCAGGCAAAAACAAAGCCTGTCAGGACTTCATCTGCAACTGTGATCGCGAAGCTGCTATCTGCTTTTCAAAGGCCCCATACAACAAGGAAAACAAGAACCTGGACACCAAGTACTGTCGGAACTGAGTATCACCTCCAGAAATCATCCCTACCTGCTTCATGGCCTTCACCTTATGCTGTGCCCTCCATTAAAGCACTTTGTTGAAAGGCCTCACGTTTGGAGATTGTTTTATTCTGTCTAAGATTGCTTTATTCTATCTACTGAACATGACTTAAGTCTCTTTCTAGTCCTTTGTGAGCATTCCTTCCAGCCTTGGAAGTTGAATTAGAGGGATATTTCCAGGAATTGAGTACCATGAGACCTGAATAACCAACAATCACTGATTATGTATTCTGTGCCAGGACTGTGTCTCTACCTTATCTGGACTGTCCTATGAGGTTTTGAAACTATTAGTAAATCCCACTTTTCTAAGCTGAGGCTCAGTAGGAGACGGTCCTTGTCCGATGCTATGCATCTAGTAAGTAGCAAAGAAGAGCTCTGAACCCAGGGATCCAACAGAACACACACTCTTAACCACTACGCTACTCTGGCTGAAGCTGTGGGCTCTTGTTCAGATTAAACGAGCTTAGATGGAATGGCCATTCTGTGCATACTATGCTACAGTAGGATTGCAAGGGACTCAAAATTATGTCGCAGCCTTCAACGAACTGTAAAGGTCATAAATGTCCTTCTTCTATGGAAAGAAACTTCAAGCCCATGTTCGGATGAAAGAAATGTACAATTTTAGGAGACTGCTGCAAATTCCCATTTTGGGGGAATGGGGTGGGTTGTAAAACAAGAGAAAAACAGTCACCCGAGTACTCAATCTGGGTTCTAAAAATATCCCGTCGTAAAAAACTACCTCTTTTTTTTTGTCATTACTGGGGTTGGGGAGAGAGAAAACATTAATAGAGCATCTGCTGGGTGCTTATTTCAGGAAACGCAATACCGGAAACACCGCTACAGTGGCTGGGCTGATTTAAATTCATAAATAAAACTGGAATTAGAGTAATTTGAAGTCGAGATTTTACCTTAGCATCCGCAATATCTTCACAGTGCTCATCATATTGTACAAACTAATTAAATAATTGTTCAACGAAGGTGCAGTGTGGTGCAACGGCTGGCGGCAGTCGAGGAGCAACCACGAGGCCGTATTTACCTTTTCAGATCACGTGACACCGCGCTCTCAACCCATTCAACCCTCCGGCCCTGAGGGATTTCAGAGCAGGAAATGTGATTGGGCATATTTTGGGCACGTGGCTCTCGGTTCCTCCCTCCTATTGGTGAACAGCGGCCCAGCCCCCGGCCTACCTCCGCGCCTCCCACGGTCTGGCCCCAACTTCTCACGCTTCGGGGCTGAGCCAGCGCAGGCGCAGTAGTTGGTAACGACCGCTGGGTGTGGCGTCTCCAGAGGTGCGTTCTGGGGACGAATCCGGCAGGAAGCACAGAGTGGGCGAGTCTCATGTGAAAAGGGGGCGACTCACGTGGGCATGACGTGGGGGCCAACTTCCCCACGGGGTTCGTTCCTCTCAGAGTCTCTCACTGCACACAGGCCCCTCCTACTCCAGCCCCCTAACAGTTTCTGGTTGGCGACCCCTTCTTTGCTTTTTATCCCTGGGAGTGGCCGCGGGGGCCAGGAAGGCGGGTGCAGGGAATCAAAGTGGGGCGAGGAGGAGGAGGAGCAGCCTAGGAGAGCGGCGAGTGGATTTGCAGCCAAAGGCCACTGGGGCGCCCCAAGTTCCCACTTGCATCCCCATCCCTACTTCAAAAGTAAAAAAAAGGCATAAGAATTTGCAGTTCTGACCGCCATGCTTTTGCGTTTGTTGGTGCCTGCCTTTGGAATGCTCTCCCTTTTCCCTCCTGCTTATCGCCTATTTATCTTTCAGAACCTAGTTGGAGTCACTTCTGGAAGTTTCTTGAGCCTTGCCCTTCTTCCCTCCCAAAGTACAAGTTGCTCACCTACCAGCTCTCCACCCCCACCCCGCCCCGGGTTTCTGGAGCATTAAAGAGGAGAGGGACCAAGCACAGAACAGGACAGACTGGGTTTGATTACTGGCCTGGGCACCCTAGGTGACCTTGGGCAAGTTACATAAGGGTTCCGAGCTTCAGGATTCTCATCTTTCTAAAAACTGTGTGCAGGTCATAGGGTTGAAGTGAGTCAGTGTGTTGTAAAATGCTTCCTACAGTGCTTGTAGAATAAATAGTATTTTGGTAAGGGTGAGCAGGATACTCTTTCTTTAGAAAGGCTTTATTACATCAATGAAGACTTGGCTTTTGTAGTTTTTTTTAAAAGGCAAAGAGGTGCACAAAAAGGAAATACGGCTCTGAGGAAGATCTGCAAGTCTAGTTTAAGTAGTTCTCAGTAACGGACAAAGGTTCAGGGGGTGTGATGGCTTCCCCTCCCACCATCTGGCTCTCCTCCCATAACCATGTGACAATGGCTGGCACTTGTTTACTGGGTGGCAGGCACTGTGCTCTGAGCTTCACATATATCATCATTTTCTTTAATCTTCATAACCTGCTGAGGTAGCTACTATTATCCATTATCCTCATTTATAAAGAGATGGAAAATTAAACAACTTGTTCAAGTAAAAAGCAAGACAGGGATGGAAATCCAAGTCTGTCTATACCCTGACTTTCAATTCCATCCTGTTTTCCTTTTCCAACAAATTGAGAGAAAAAAAACAACACTCCTCTTTCTTGGATGAGTTTATTTTTTTCCATGAGGTAGAATTTACCTATTTTGTGACATAAAAAATAAAAAATTGATCTCAGAGCACCATCCTGAATCTCAGCAAGGGTAATATATTTGGAATTAACTATTATATCTGGCAGCAACCTCTGCAGTTCCTAGGAGCAGGGTGACTGACTCACCCTGGTTTTAGTCCTGAAAGTCCTGCATCCCAGAAAATCCTTCAGTACTAGGCCACTTGGGACAGTTGGTCACCCTATCTAGGAGTGCTGAATTTCCTATTGGGCCTTCCTCTCTGATCCTCTTGAGAAAAGTTTGGCATTCCCTAAAGACTGCCCCTTAAGGCATGCCCAAGCATCTCTTGGTTAACTTTTTATTAAGTGAGCTAATACATTGTGACATACTTCCCACATTGCTCAGGATATGCTCAATAATGCTGTTATTTAAGAAAGAGGTGAGAGAAGGATATTCAGTTTATGATAGCATGAAAGAATATGAGTTAGTGGGAAGGAGGTTTTAAGTGTAATGTACTTGTTTGCCTTTGTGACTTCTACTCACTGTGATACCTCAGCAGAACCATGGAAGCAACCAAGAAAGGACACCACTGAAAAGTCATGCCCAAAGCTGGGCTTATGCCATTAAAACCATGTAACCAGGGCAGTGACACACTGATGGCACCCACTGGTAGATGTTTGTTATTCCCAACTGGACACTTATAGTGGGTTAGGAACCATCATGCTGGGAGAAAGCAAGAGATGTAAGGAGACATGAGAAGCAGCAGCTTCAGGAAATACCAAGTTCCCCTCGACACACATTTTTTGGAAAGAATTACATCTCAGTAATAACAGACATTCCTAAGGCTCTCAAGATAATGGTTTCATGAATCAGGCCAGCATTAGGTGATGAAAGAGCCTGCCTTCCCTCCCTGGCAACCTAACCTGGTCTCCACTACCCACCATGTTTTGACTATCCCTGGTTTCCGGGCCAGGTGTGCTGCCAGCTTCTACTTCTACATTACGTTGACTTACTTCTAACCATAATCTTCAGGCAAGTGAGAAGCACTGTTATTTAAAAAGAAAAAAAACTGGGAGGAAAGTCTTGGATTCTAGGCCTGGCTCTGAAACTATGTACTATGACCTTAGGTAAGTTTAGCTCTTAGTTTCTTCAAAAATAAAATGAGGAGGGATGACTAAATTTGCTCTCACCCAGTCATTCCATGCATGACTCCAAGACATTTTCTGGTAGAGAATAAGGGTGGAGAAAATAGCACATCTTCCATTAGCCACTTAAGGGCAAGAGCAAGAGGTTGTGTCTTTGTAGCCTTAGCAACTTAATAGTCAGTAACTGCTGATGAGTTGTGGATGAGAACAGTTTAAGATTCAAAAGATCCAGATTTGGATACAATTATTGGTATCGACTTTTGGTAACTGAGCAAATCTGATTCAAAGCATCTTAGGATCCTCATCTACAAAAAAAGCTGGGATGAGATTTACAACAACCCTCAGCCTCTTCAGAATTAATTAATGACCATGAACAAACTTAGAGTGGTGCAGGTGAAAAGAACTCTGTGTTTTCAAGTTCTTGGATTATTCCAGTTAACTGAAATTTGCTTCCTAGGTAGGTGCAGGATGAACATGTATTGCTTGCCCTAATTTTGGACAAAAGGCAGGCCAGAATAGTCTGTGATTCTTTGATCCACTTCACTTTTGATGAGATTGTGCAGAAAGCTTTAGCCTGGTACAATGATTCTTTCTGGCTAAGGCAGTAATCAAACAGGTCTTGCTGCTTCTTCAGCAGAAACAAATCCATTTAGGAGCTCGCTTGGGAACTCAGTTTCCTCTCTACAGACCAGGTTCAAGGCAGGTGTCTCATTCTGGCAGCTGAAATCAAGCAGAAGTCCTTAGAAAACCATGTCATAAAGTCCTATTCTCTTACCTGATGAAAAAAATAATATAAATATAGACCCCATATACCTGGTGTGCTATTAAACAATAATTATTTTATTCTTTGGTTAATAAAAAATTAATACTGTTGCTCATCTTTCCAAAAAAATATATTAAAATGGTTCAGTTAAAGACATACAACCATTTGGAATTATAAATTAAAGTCATTTCCTTCTTTCACCTGCCCACATTAGTGAGATCCCCAGGTTAGCACTCCTGAGATTCTTCTGGCCTACATATTCCCCAGGCCATTTCTTCTGTCTGGTGAGATAAAAGGAGGCGAAAGCAGTTTTCCTATTAAGAGAAGCCGCTTCTCTGAAAAAGTCTTTCGTCAAGGGCAGTTCTCATCAGCCCGACTGAACACCAGGCAGTTCAGAGACGTGCTGGGAAAGAAGCTGGTTTGCTGCCCTCTACAGGTTGCACTTGGTGAGCTTCTATAAGAGGAAGAAGGATTGAATCCCTCAGGGATCTGAAAAGAAAGGAAACAAGTTAGTGCCAGAATAGGCCAAGGGTTGGGTAGAGGAAATGATTGAACATCAGCCTACCTACCATTGAAAAAAACCACAGCATTTAGGACAAGTAAAGATGGCCACTATATCTTGTTAAGTGAAAATAGGATGTAATATAACATTATGCACAAGTTGATTCAATTTTTGTAAAAACAGATTTAGTTATACCAGAATTGTTAAGCTTTGGTTATCTTGGTGGTGGGATTATGGGTAATTAGTCTATATTCTTTTTATTTATTACCTATGTCATCTAAACTTTCTACAATATGTATTATTCTAGTAATAAGAAACTGGTTAAAAAGTATTTGTGCCAAGGGGACTCTTCAGGTGCTGGTCACATCCTGTTCCTTCATCGAGATGCTGTATGTCTTCATCAGGTTGTCCTTTTACGATACATACACTTCCCTGTAAGTACAGTACACCTGAATTAAGGTGGTTTTTAAAAAGTGGGTGTATAAGAACTCTCATTCGTTGCTGGTGGAAATGCAAAATGGTACAGCCCCTTTGGAGGGCAGTTTGGCAGTTTCTTACAAAGCTAAATATACTTTTATCATATGATCCAGCAGTGTTGCTCCTTGGTATTTACCCAAATTAGTTGAGAACTTACGCCCCCACAAAACCCTGCATGTGGGTGTTTACAGCAGCTGTATTAATAATTGCCAAAAACTTGGAAGCAACTATGATGTCCTTCAGTAGGTAAAAAATACTGTGAGTGTAAAGGAGCAAGGGGCATATGGGAACTCTGAACTTCCTGTTCAATTTTGCTGTGAACCTAAAACTACTCTAAAAAATAAAGTCTATTTTTTTTTGGGTAAGAAAAAAAAGTTTATTATTTGCAACAAGTAAGAAGAACAATGGGGACAGCACCCACATCCCAAAACCGTGGTTTCCAAAGCCCTTTTTTTTTTTTTAAGTGGTTGCTCTCCTTTGGGAATATACTAAAAACTATTGAATTGTACTGAGTGAACTGTATAGTATGTGAATTATATCTCAGTAAATCCGTTATACATATATTTTAAATAGTTGCACTCATAGATTAAAATACTGACACATGCTACAGTATGGATGAGCCTTGAAAACATTATGCTAAGTGGAGAAGCCAGACACAGAAGGACACATATTGTATGAAATTTCTAGAATAGGCAGGAACAGAGAGATTAGTTGTTGCCTGGGACTCAGGGTGGTGTGGGAAATGGGGAATGACTGCAAACAGGTACAAGGTTTCTTCTCGGGATGATGAAAATGTTCTCAAATTGGATAGTCATGATTAATGTACAACTTTGTGAATGTACTAAAAATAAGTTAATTGTATGCTTTTAAAGGGTGAACTTTATGGTATGTGAATTATATCTCAAAAAAGTTGTTATTCTTAAAAACGGAAAAAAGCAATGGCAAATTTTGGAACATTGTCTTAAATAGCTATGTGCCTAGAATTTGGAAATCAGTCTATAAACACTATAGCTTAGTGCACATTAAAAAATCAGTTTTAATTAAGAGTAGCCATACCTTAAGAAGCCTAGAACCTTCTGTATCTTGTCAGTCATCTCAGTTGAATGGGAACTGGAACCTGATCTCTGAGAAGGCATTTACCTTTAGCAACAGGATTCAAGTGAAAGTCCCAGTTTCTGGCTCAGGACCATCAGGCTGTGGTCAGTAAGGGTCTATTAAAGGCAGCAACTCTCCACAACGAGAATCCAGTTTCAGACACGCCAAGTCATCTGACCGTGTGGGCCCAATGTTCAGTACTGCAATTGGCAGCTTCTTCTCCCGGGCAGTGAGGATAAACCTGTAACCAGAGTACACCTGCACGAGGAGAAGATACAGGTAAGAGCTCTCTAGACACAGGAAGAGATGAACCAAATAAGGAACCTTTCCAGGGCCCCCTGTCCTGAAAAAGGGGCAGTTACCACCTCAACCAAGTCAGATACCTGCAGGGATGATCCCACCACCAAGAGGGAGTCGGCTTCTTTTACACGCTTGTGCACAAAGTCAACTGTGTCAGGGTTCACTGTGTCCCCGAAAAAAACGACGTCTGGTTTCAGAGGGCCTCCACAGCGAGCACAGGACGGGACCTGAAAGCTCTGTACCTGCTCCTCTGTGAGAAAGACATCGCCATCAGGGGCCAGGCCGTGGGCCTCAGCACTCCAGGTGGGGTTCAGGACTTCAAAACGCTCCTGCAGCACCCCACGGGGAGTCTGTTCGCCACAGCCCAGGCAGAGAACCCTGCAACCAAAGATGAGGCTGAATGAATGGTCTGTCCTGGGGAGGCAAGAAGCTGCCAAAGACTTTTCATCCCCAGCCATTTTTACCCACTCCACTGATGTCTGCTTTTCCTATCATCCAGTTATTTCCCCATTTGAGGAATACCATCTCATGACCTCTTTAGCAGCCACCATCTCTCACCTTCCTTCCACTGCCAACCTTCTAGAACAAGTAAGGTACAAATTTCCTTACTTCCCACTCCTTGCTTAACCTTCTGCCTGGCTCATTCTTATCCTTAACACACTGCAAAGGCCTGACCACATGATTTTCAGTGTTTTTCCCTCCCACCTCTGCTCTCCTCATCAGCTGTAATTGTTGCTGTTCATCACCATTCTCTCTTTAAAACACATTCCTCCTTGGCATCCTGACCCACTGTCTTCTGGGCCTCTTCTCACCTCTCTACACAGCACATGAGCTCCGTGAAGGCAGGAACTTTGAGACTGCTCTATGCCTACCACCTGGGAAAGTGCCTGCATACAGTGGGCACTCACTAAACAGCTGTTCAAAGAAAGCACAAAAGGTTGTTTAGTTGGTTCCTCCTCTGTTCCTCCATCTTCCAGCCTGCTTTCCTTCTATGCCCCCCACTCTGGGGACTCTGTTTTCACAGCTACAACTCCTCTGTGCTAATGGTTTCCTCCTGTATCTAGAACTTTCCTCCTGTTCTCACTCCCAAACTCTAGTCCAAACTCCAAGTCTTCTTGACTGTCCTGTTAAGCTTACCTTCTGTCTTCAACTCCCACCCCCCAACTTCTCCACCTGTTCTCAAATTATTTGGGTTTAACCTTTGGAAAAAACTTGTTATGTATATTTTTCCTTTTACTCGTCATCTAGTCAGCCATCAGATTTTGTTGATTTTTTTAAATTAAAAGGACCCCTGTGAAATGAAAAGAAGTCTTGGATTTGTTTTAAAAATACTTAAGAAGAGATAGGGAGAGAAGGGATAAAGCAGACATGGTAAAATCTTTAAATCTGGATAACCGTATATGGGAGCTTATTTCTTTACATACTCTGCTTTTGTGGATGTTTGACATTTTCATTATGAAAAGAAGTTTTTACTGGATCCATAGCCATCATTAGCTCTCACATTCCCCTGAAACCACCTTAGTCTGAATCTTCAGGCTGACTTCCCTGAGCCACTCTTTCTAATCTTGTCTAGCATTTGAGGATGCTATCTTTATCACGTTGCTTTTTTGCTCAGAAACCACTAATAGTCCCCTTTGTTCTCTCCTAACAGACCTAAACTGCACTGCACAATTTTCAAATGCACCTATGATTTTCATCGAGCCTTTCCAGACAATCTGGTTTCATAGTAGTGTCCACAGAGGCCAGGCCAGACTCCTCTGGGCCCTACAAAGTCCCTTCATTCAGAAAGCTCTCTTTCCCCTCCTTTGCCTACTCAAATATGAGCCAGTCCCAAGCCCCACCTTACCCATAAATGCTTTCCTGATGACTCCAATCTTTACTAAATCTCTGTTCTCTGAACTTGTAAGTAATGTCTATCAAGGACCACACAATCTGAACTTATAAGTGATGTCCACAAGGACCTTCACTCATATGTGGAGTTGTCATTAAACATGTTGTTTTTGGATTCCCCCCATCAACAGATTGCAAAGTTCTCACACATAAAGTAGACGATATTTTATACCTTGTTTTTGACCCCTCCACAGCACCAAGTAACCCACCAGCACACACCACATGTTTTAGGCACCCAATAAATATTTGGATTGGCAGGAGGATCTCTAGGGCTTAAAGATAAGGAAATCCTCTCCAATTAGCTTCAAGTCATTGCCAGGGCTACATGTGTTCATTCCATCAATATTTATTGGGTTCTGACTACATTCCAGGATATACTGTGTTCTATGTGCCTAAGTGCCAAAGATCTAGCAGCATGTAGTATCTGCTGTGGGTGCTCTGCTCAGGTTCCCTTCAAGACGACCTAGAGACCCCTTGCACACAATTCTCTTCTAAGCCACTTACTGTGTCTCTTGCTTAGGGTGTTTACTGGCCAAGGAAGCCTTCTCCAGAAGAGCAGAGTCAGGGTTAGATAGTTAATTCCCCAAGCATGACCCTCAACCAGTGAGAAATGGGAGATGGATAAACCCCCCAGCTTCCTTGACTTCAGTGAGACAATTCTGAAGCATGCTCTAGACTGTCAGACGGCCCTTCACAAGACAGCCCCAGCTCCCCTAAGAAGTAACCCCTTAACACACCTTCTTCTTGCCTTTCCTCCCTGCCCTGTTTCACTTTCCCACTCCATAACTGAATTTGCTAGGATTGCCCCCAAAATAAACAACTTGCTCCCAAAGCCTTTTTCAAGGGCTACTGAAGACAGCAGTGATCAAGACAGCCAAGGTCCCTGCTCTTACAGAGCACAGATTTCTGCATTCAAAATGGTTAGGCCTTCCTGTACCTGTGCATGCATCCGTGGAGCTCTGTCAGGCGCTGACTCCCTGCCTTGGTGTGCAAGGCATCCACATTTTGGGTCACCAACCAGTGCAGCTTTCCAAGTCTCTCCCAGTTGCTCAAAGCCCAGTGTGCCAAGTTAGGCTGGTGGGAGGAGAACTGAGGCCAGCCCACGAAGTTTCTCGCCCAGTACCGCTGGCGGATTGGCGCACTCCGTACAAAGTCCCCGTGCTGGATGGGCCTCCGGTCAGTGCGGGCATAAAGTCCCACCTTCTCTGACCTGTAGTCTGGGATCCCTGACTCTGTGGAGATTCCTGCCCCAGTCATTACTAGGAGCCTCTTGGAAAGGGTGATGAAGAGCTGTAATTCTTTGACTTTCTCAGGGTCCAGAGGAGGACTTGGTGGCACAAATAACCCAGTGGATCCATGTGAGCTCTGCCGGCTGATGGTCACCATCCAGCAGCCTTTTGCTGCCTTGAAAGTCAACCCAAAGTTCATCCTCATTCTAGAGAGAGAAACCTCATGTGAGAAACCGGTTTGTTTTTTTGCTTGACTGAGATATAAGTGTCATATACCATTATATTAGTTTCACATATACAACATAATGATTCAATATTTGTATACACTATACAAATAAAGAAAAGCTTGGGTGGCATCCTCATTCCTCAAAATAGTCCCCCTGCATGGGATTTGGGAGCAGGTAACTGATGAGATTTCAAGACCCATCCAATTTATATCTGGAAGCTGCCAACCCAAAAGGTATCTAATAATCAGCAAACTTGGACATTGAAATAATTTATGTGATGAGAGCCAACAACATGAGACTCAGAGATGGCTGGGGAGCAGGAATTTGTTGGTATTACATACAATACTGCCTTCTGGAAGATAATATCTAGGTATTAGAAAAATGTATTGTACTGGGGAGCAGTACAGGTTTTATATAATCCAAGGAAGCAATCCATCCAGACCATACTACTTCCAGGGTAGATTTCATGCTTATCTGAACAACCTACTGATAATGAACTCATCAGTGACTTCAGTACCTTGAAAGATGGCCCACAAATAAACAAGAACATCTCACTGGAAAGGTACAGCCCTCTCCATACACACACCTAGAATATATTTGTAATATATATATATTTTTGTAGATAATTATTTTTTATTGAAGGGTAGTTGACACACAGTATTACATTAGTTTCAGGTGTACAACACAGTGATTTAACATTTATATACATGNGCTCAATGTACAATCATTAATCCATCTCAAGCCTAATTCTCGTCAGTCTCCAATCTTCTGAAGCATAACGAACAAGTTCTTACATGGTGAACGAATTCTTACAGAGTGAATAAATTCTTACATGGTGAACAGTACAAGGGCATTCATCACAGAAACTTTCGGTTTTGATCATGCAATATGACCTATAAACCATCAGGTCAAATATGAATATTCATTTGATTTTTGTACTTGATTTATATGTTGATCCCACATTTCTCCTATTATTATTATTATTTTTATTTTTAATAAAATGCTGAAGTGGTAGGTAGATGCAAGATAAAGGTAGAAAACATAGTTTAGTGCTGTAAGAAGGCAAATGTAGATGATCAGATGATCAGGTGTGTGCCTATGGACTAAGTATTAATCCAGGCTAGACAAGGGCAGCAAGACATCCACGGATGCAGAAGATTTCTCTCAAAGCAGGGGGGGTGAGGTTCTGAGCCTCACCTCTGTTGATCCCCAATTTCTCACCTGATGGCCCCCCTGCGACTGTGCCTGTCTTAGGTTGTTCCTCCCTTGAGGAATCTTACCCGTCTCTGGCTAACCAGTCATCTTCCGGGGCCATACAGGGAAATGTAAAGTTGGTAAGTGAGAGAGAAGCCTTATTGTTTGAAAAGGTTAGTTTTTTACTTCTTTGCATATTTATGCCCTGTGGCTTCTATGCCCAGCATTTGTCTTGAGGTATCTTTACCACTTGGAAGAATTATGATACACGGTAAATTCGATATGAGGCACGAATTCTATTTAAGGGTTGTAATTAGGAAGGAAGAAGAAAAGCTATAGAAGTAGCAGGCAGAAGAAAACATGGGAAGATTGATTATTTCTTTGACATATCTTCTTGTAGAGTAACATAAGCATGTATAGGTTTTAAACTACTAATTAAATTATGCACACACATTAACATAATAGGAGTACAGTTACATAACCAAAGCAGACCTACAATTACCAGCCATCTCCAGTGAAACAAAGAAAACCAGTTAGGCACCTTAGGCATTTGTGAAGACTTATCTATGATATGGCGGATATTGTCCAACTGAACTTGAACAGTCAGAGAGAAATCAGACAAATTAAGACAGCCCATTCCTGGGGACTGTTCACATCCCATATGTTCTTTTAACAGTAAATAGTCTGTAGTTGTAAGATTTTGGAGCGCTACAATTTGCACTTCTCCTAATTCTTGGTTGATGTAATATTATTTTGTACTCCAGTATTTTGTAAAACTGGGGAGGGTGTGAGTTAACTTGGGATCTGATAACTCAAACCTGTACTGAACTGAACATTAGGACTCCAGGTTTATGGAGAAAATTGACCCTTGCCAGCAGGATGCTGGTAAACTGGCTTTTCTCCTCCCCACCTCCAAAAAACAGGAAAGAAGAAAATAATCCCATCATGGCCAGTTTAAGGCTACCAATGGTTTAATAACAAGCTAGCAAATTCCTGAATGTTTAACAATTGGACCTCATCAGTACAAACTGATTCCAGCATCCCCCTCCTGGTTCCTATGAAGTTTAGCCTGAAACACTAAGTCTACCTTTTCATTATCTTTTTAACAATTTATTTTGGTCAAGAATTTTTAATACCTTCCATAGAATCTTGTCTCTACACTGGACTGTTTCAAACAGCCCAAGTCAATCTTGTTTTCCTGACCTCTTAAGGACCTATAGTCAGAGCTCTACTATGCTGTGTCCATCAGGTGGAAATAAAACGAGACAGAGTAAAGTAAAAATTGGTAAAGCAGAATTCTAGAATAACATAAGGGCTATTCTGTCTCTCACAGTAACACCTGGCTGGTTAGAACTAAATTTCTTATAAACTTCAAAAGGTTAACAGTTTACCCCAGAATCTTTTAAATCCCTTAATAGCTTTTGTTATTCCATCTATGACTGCATCTAAAGATGTCTCAATCATAATATATTTTTAGTCAATACCATCCCTTGAGGGACTGTGTGTTCCATAAACCTACTTCCCATTCTGTAAGTTAGAATTATCTTATTTCTTCATAAGCTAAAAATGCTTTGGGTTCTAGTTATAGTGATGAAGTTCATATTTTTAAGGTTTTTGATTTTATTAATGTCATTCAGTACATGCACACCTTTTATTGTGTGTTTTTTTTTCCCGAATTCTTTCAGTTTACCCTCAATTGCAAACACTGCTACTTGGACACACCGTAGAGAGACCTAGGAAGACATCTGACCCCAATTTTTCCAGCTGTAAAAACAAGGTTGACATATTTGATAGAATGCAGAAATTCTTTAGCGACACGTACCCCGTATGGAAAATTTTATGCTTGGCTTTTCGCGTCTAGGTCCAGGACCCCGGTTTCTCCATGACATTCGACAGAAACACGTGAGAGCTAAGGACACAGGGTAAACAGTCGGGTTTCCTGGATGAGAGGGCTGAGAAAACCCCGCTGAAAACACGCTCTTTTAGAACAGTTGCTCTCTCCTAGCTACCACTAAAGGGCAAAGAAGGTAAATGGTGTATCCCTTACAAGAAACCCACAACTTCTGGAAACCTGCAGCCCACAGAGAACACGCTTACCTTTCACAAGTTAAGGGACACTTCACCTCCGACAGAAGGACTGACCGGCTACATTTGCATTTTGGGAAGTGTAGTTCACGAAGCTGAACTGATTCAAGAAACACTACAAGTCCCACAATCCTCTGGGTTTCACCTGTTGTGGGTCCCATATAGTCCAATTGCGCCCCCTGTCGACCTTTCCTCGTCAGAGGTTCTGAACCTCGGTTTGAGATGCCTCTTTCTGCTAAACCTACACGTCATCTCTCTGAGAGAGAAGTCTAACTTCAGCGATATCCTGAAAGCAAAATTGTGCATTCAACTAGCGATAACTTAGGAATTAATTCTCTCTTAAGATAGATTTAATAATGGATCTAGATTTGATTCATCTTCAACTTAGGTGTTTAAGTTCCCACCTTGCAGTGGGTTGTGAAGAAATACATTCACAAATATCTGAAAAATTGATATTGTTACAGCTAATGTGAACAATTAAAGCCAAATGTCTATACAGGGACTAATATATTTGCCCATTTGTCTTCTCCAATTTTATTTCTCAGCTTATGTTTTTACTAAATTAACCAACATGCCTGAATCTCGCTCCTGGAGATTCTGATTTAATTGGTCTGGGGAGACGCCTGGGCTTCAAGTCGGTTTACAAATGGGTAGCCAACGCGAACCGCTGCTTTATAGCATTGCCTAAGTAAACCAGCAAACAATTTGTGTTTTGCAGTATAATCAAAGGGCAGCTAGCAGGGACCGTGAAGATCACCTACGGAACCACTTCTTCCGTTTTAAGATGAGCTGAAGCCCAAACGAGTAATACGGAAGCTGGAGTCAGATTTTCATTCCTGATCCTCTCATTGATTCTTAAAGCGTGAAACAGCGGAAAAGTAACGCAGTTTAGTAGCTGGAGAGCAGTACCTGCAGGAACAGCTCCACAGGTCACGAGTGCCTTAATCTAACCTGAAAATAAGTACCAAAATGTAGACTTTTACTAAGTAAAACTAAGTTTACTGAATAATACTTTTACTAAGTAAAACGCTAAGTAAAAAAAAACTGCAATCCACAACATTTTCTGCCCATGTGGGTATTCGATCAAAACCTATAGTAATGCCAAAACAGTGACATTCCCTGCCCCCAGGCAAATTTTATTATGAAAAATTTCAAGCCCATGTTATTTTTTTTCAGTTTTAAGTGGAATAAACATCATTAATAAAGACTGGCTAGGAATACACGACTATTGTGCTTTTAGGCCCCAAGGAATCTCACATCCTGGGAAGAAGTTAGCTGAGTTTTACTTTTTCCTTGTTGCTGGAAAGTCATCTGTGGAGATTGAAGTTGTTCAAGACAGCTGGTGAAACAGTTTCACCACACCAGGAATTAATGACTAAATCCTTGACTGGATCTAGCTAAAATAATCTAATCAGATTGCTAAATTTTTTTTTGCTGGTTTTCCCACTCTGGCAGTTATTGCTGTGGGAAAATAAAACAAAACTAATTATACATCAGCATCATACATTTTAAAGATGTCATTTTTGCATCTAGATGATGACTACATGAATGCTCACTGATCCATACTTTGTTCTGTTTGAAATTTTTATAATAAAATGTTGGGGAAAATGTCACTTTCTCGGAAACTACTATTTGTATGTTAATGAGTAGCAAAAAACAAAAGTATTTTGGAGAATATAGTTCAGGGGCGAAACAAGTACAGACATGGGTTTCCATCAGCTTTCAATCTGTAGAGAGAAGTGTTGTGAAATCTTCAGACTTCATGAACTGTGGACGTCTCTGAAAAAATAGCCTCTTTCAGCTTCTCCCCTCTGAATTAAGATGTCCACAGAAAACCGTTTTGAATTAAATACAGAAAAACCACATGACCCAGAAATTCCATTTTAAGTATGTACACAAAATAATTGAAAACAAGGACTCAAACCCATACTTGTTTATCACTTCATAGAAGCATTGTTCACAATAGCCAGTCGAAACAAGGTGTGTCCATCCAAGAATGAATGAATAATAAAATTCCATACAGTAGAATATTAATCAACAATAAAAAAGAATAAAGTTCTATTATATACCACAATATGGGTGGATTTTAACAGTATTGTTATGAAATTAGCCAAACACAAAAGGTCAAATGTTGTATGATTCACTTATACGAGGTGTTATATTATATATTTGAGTAGTCAAATTCACAGAGACAGAAGTAAAATAAAGGATGCCAGGGGCGGAGGGGATGAGGGATGGGAAATTAGCGTCTAAGGGTACAGAGCTTCAGTTTGGGATGATGAAAAAGTTCTGGAGACATATAGTGGTGATGGTTGCAATGTAAATGTTCTTAATGCTACTGAACTCTACAGTTAAAATGGTAAATGTTATGCTATGTATATTTTATTATAATTTGGAAAAAAAGTTCTGGGGACAGCATTTACACTGTGAGTTGGGAGCCAAGGGAACAACAGCTCACTGACATAGCCCATTTCTCACCCTCTCCAATTCATTCTCTGAGTTAATTATTAGCATGCTCTTTCCCACAATGCTTTGCTTCATTTCCCACCAAAGCTTGTTAAGTGTATACAAGGAACTGTATCGACAGAAGCATTCCTAGAGATCTTAGTATGGTTATATAATTTTCATCAAACAATAAACGAAGGTTTTTCCACAGGACTCAAACTCACCTTTATGTAATAGGAACCTTGCTTATTGGGGATGATGAATAGGGCTAAGATGTACCCAGCTTTGCGCAGTGGCAGTATCGTAGCCAATGAGGTTTATCCGAGGCGCGATTATTGCTAATTGAAAACTTTTCCCAATACCCCGCCGTGACGACTTGAAATATAGTCGGCATTGGCAATTTTTGACAGTCTCTACGGAGACTGGATTTTCAGGTTTGCAAAAAATAGTTATTCCGTAGTAGTTTCTGCTGTGTGCGAGAGGTTAAGTCATTGTCGTACGTTATTGAGATCGTCAGAAATTCTGGAAGTATTGTTTATCGCTGCTTTAACCAAAGCTATTATACCCTTGGTGTCTGGGGTGCTTCCTCCAACTATACTCGTCTTGGCTCACTCTTGTTTTCCCCGCCTTCCTGCCGCTCAGTTTTTTACTCAAAATCCAGAGGTGTTAGCCGGGCCATCTCTGTGACGTTACACTAGTTTGCATAATATTTCCCAGCATCCTAAGCGAATTCGCTCTCATTTCCAAAATCTAAATGTTCTGTAAGAGATAATCCAACAAGAAGTAGCCTGCCTTACAGATGGGCCTTAAATATAACTGCTTAAAGGGGAACGCGCTAAATCCGCGATCTCGCTGGCAGTCACTCACCCTTACTGTAAAGACAGTTGTCATCCATGGGAGAGCGGGGTGGGTGATTATGGGTGCCAGCTTTGCGCAGTGGCAGTATCGTAGCCAATGAGGTTTATCCGAGGCGCGATTATTGCTAATTGAAAACTTTTCCCAATACCCCGCCATGACGACTTGAAATATAGTCGGCATTGGCAATTTTTGACAGTCTCTACGGAGACTGATTCTTGTTTGTTCAACGGTAGATTTCAGATTTATTATATGCTATCTGTAGTGTTTTCTTCATTTTCTACTGTATTAGTTTGAGGCTGTTAGGAAGAGTTTACAGGACTGCTGTACGAAAAATTCTTGGTTTTTTTCCGACTTCTATGTACAGCTGTGAGGTCTCTTATTTAGAGTAGCACACGTTTGGTTTTAATTGTAGCTAATCTTTTTCCAAAAGCTCACAGCAAATGGCCAAGTCCTCTTCATTGCCCTTGGAGTGGACAATCCCACCCAAAGAGAGAGAGGTTCACAGTAATGGAAGGGAATCTCGAAAGCATCTCACCCGAATGCTTCCTTTTAAAACGACCAGGAGGGAAATGGAAACAGAATGCTTGCTTGCTCAGGACTCATTGTGGAGTCCCAAGCAAAGTTGGGGTTGGAACTCAGCACCCATAGTAGTGTGCTGGTTTCCACTACACCAGCTACCACTAGTCTTGTCCTGTTAGGGAGGCCAGCGGTGTCCCAGTCGGAAGCCCTCAGTAGTCCTATGCCTGGGCATGGCAGATCTGTCTGGACCTGCTTAGGCCACTACCCATCAAACACTCTTGGCCTGTAATCTGAAGGATGTGGTTACTAAGGGCAAAGGTAGTGAAAGGGCATCTATTGGTTCAAAGCGGCCCGCGCGGTAAATTAGACCCAGTTGCTGCAGGGAGCTCAGTCTTGAGACTGACCATAGGTAAGTAAACAAATATATAAACAAAGTAATTACAAATTATTTCATTGCGATGGAGAAAATACAGAGGGAGATGTGATGGAGCCATCCAGGAGACCAGCCAAATTACAGTAGCAACTATTGAGCACTTACTGTGTGCCACACTCCAGGCAAAGTACTTAACATGCTTCATTTCATTTAATTCTCACAGAAACCATTCTCCCCATTCTTTTTTTTTTTTTTACAAACACCTTTATTGATGTATAATTGACATTCAATAAATTGCATATATTTGAAGCACAAGATTTGATTAAGTTTTGAAACATGCATATCTACAAAACCATTGCTGCAATCCAGATAGTGAACACAATCCATCACTCCCAAATTTCTTAGTGTTTCTTTGTAATCCGTTGATCCCTCCCGTCTCTCCCCACACACTCCTACTTCTGTCACTATAAAGTTTGCATTTTCTAGAGTTTTATATAAATAGAATCATTTGGTATGTGATTTTTTTCGGATTGACTTTTTTCACTAAACAGTGTCCTTGAGGTCCACCCAGGTTGTTGTATGTATTGATAGTTCACTGTTCTTGCGTACTCAGTTGTATGGATGTATCAACTATTGCTGAACCTTTCCCCCTTGAAGGTCATTAGGTTGTTTCCAGTCTTTTGCTAGCATGAATAAAGCTACTAAGAACATTCCCTTACTAGTTTTTGTGTGACCATATGTTTCTAATTCTCTGGACCACTTGGTAAATTGCGTGTTCAGTTTTGTAAGAAATTGCCAGATTATTTTCCAGAGTTGGCTGTACCAGTGTACATCCCATCTGCAGTCTTTTTAAATCTAGATAAGTCCTCCTGCCTT